CAAATTTTTTGCAACTCAGACATCAATTATTGCGCTTATTTTAACATGAAAATGAAAATTGTTGAGCAGTGTATCTGAGAGAAATTCTTTTATGGAACACATGTTTGCAGGACCCATGTAGTTATGGCTGAAAATATGTTTAACAGAAAATGTGGCCTTTTTTTCCTAAAAATGGAATCTAAAAGTAAGTTTTCTTGTACGTGATTTTCTTACAGTTCTTTTGTGAGGATTTGATTCGGTTTATATATATAATAAGTATGTATATATTTTTTGACTAGACTAAAAAATATCGATATATTTGTTGTACAAATATAAATCAGGGGTGGACGTAAAATATTTGAAAGGATCAATTGGGTTCATTATCGTATATACACGAAAAAAGCAGTGCTAAATGAATTATTAAGTTGAAAAGATTGGCATAATTATTTTTTAAATATTACGAAAAATAAATCAACTGTCATAAGTAAAAGTTTTAATGCATCAATGTCATTAAATCTCTTACAGTTACTAACAATGAAGTGGTTATGGTTTTTGGTTATGTTGATTAAATGTCTTTTTTTAAAACAACTTGTACTCCTAGGTCTCTAAAAGAATAACATTGCAAAAGAAATGTATTAAAAACCAAATAAAAAAAATCAAGAATATCTTTTTTCTGCAATAACTAAAATATTGCATTTGTTGATATTCAAAAATAAATTATTTTTAAGGCACCGATTATAAATGTTATCAACTGAAGTCTTAAGAGCCATCTATAAATTACGTCACACAAATTTCATGATTTTTTGACCCTCTCCCCTGTCCTTGTCACAGGTGGTCACAATTGTGAGACTCCCTCCTCCCTAGTGTGATAGTGTGACGTCTAGAAATTCTTAAATTTAAATTTTTCTTTAATAGTTCAAATTTCGTGTTTTAATGCTTAGGTATATTATATTTTGAAATGTGACGTCACGAAATTTAGGACCCCTCACACAATGTCACACTTCGTCGACCCTCCCATCCCCCCGTAATTTGTGGACGACCCCTTATGTAGAGTTATCCAAACTAGAAACAGGTCCGAATATACTCAAACAATCAACTTATTATAGGTAATTGACCATGGTTAGATCTGAGGAACGGAGGATGAAGCTCTATATTTTTGAGATGATTATCTATTATATTTGACGTATTGTTGACGGTCAAATCACTTCCTCAGCATAAAATCTTGTGATCAATTTTATGAAAAGGCTTTAAACAATTGCATCAACTTGACCTTGGTCATCTAAAAAATTTGAGAAGCACTGTGTTATCAGAGTATACCAGAGTGAAATTGCTCTATAATTTTCAACATTGCACTTTCTCCATTTTTAAAAACATAACAAACCTTGGTCTCTTTCTATCTAGTTGAAAACCGCAATGACATCAATCAAAAAATTATACACAATAGATAAGCCAATACACCTGCCCAATCTTTAATAAGAAATGATGGAATACCATCCCGACCTATTGTCGTTTTTTATTTCACTTTTTTTTACTGCAAATTTCCTTTTCTAATTAATAACGTTGAAAATGGGATATTCGTTATTTTGTTATGAATTATTTTCGAAAGTTGCATTTACTTTCAAAAAACTATGCAAAAGCTGTAACGATGTCAACTGGATTATTTCAATCTGCGTTATTGTGAAATAAACAATGAGAGAGTCTAGATATGTCTAAAAATATTTTGATCGTTAGTAATGATTGCTTACACATTATCGATGTAGTTTCTTGAGTTCTTCTATATTTTTAAAAAGGTGCATCTGGAGCTTCTATATTTTTAATAATTTGCATATTGTACCAGGATAACTGCGTTCATCATATTTAAATTTAGGAACATGAATATTAAATACACGGTCCTTGCATGGGCGTCGTTTGGGGGGGGGACAAGGAGGGCAGTTGCCCTCCCTGGCTTTTACGACTTTACAACGCGTAATGGCTGTATGTCACAATACTAAATTAAATACTAAAAAGCCTTAAATTAAGTTATTAATTTAGTACTAAATATAGAACTATTTTTTTTTCTTTTTGCAACGATACCAATTTTTAGTACTAAATTAAGTATAGATGCACGCGCATTGACGTATTATTACGTGAAATTAGCACAGAAATGAAACAATCTGTGTAAATGAGACAAGTGAATTAAAAGATATTTTTATTGACTTTGACACTAGTTGACTTGACAACAACCAAATGCAGCAATGCTACTAAAAACCACGAAAAACACAATAAAACCTACAAAATCAAACACAAGCTAAATTTGTTCAAGGCGATAATGCAGAAGACCGTTGTGTCAACTTTTTCTGAGAAAAACTTCTGCGCAACATTTCAACGTATTTTTAATACTAAATTTAGTAGAAAATAGAATAAGTTCCAATTAATTAATTAATTTTTTTAGTATTAAAATTAATACTAAATTTTCTGTTTGCACCGTGAATTTTTTTAGTAAAAATGCCTTTCTAAATTTAGTACTTAATTTAGTATTGTAACATACACCCTTAATATATGAATTACTGATATTTCGTTAGGTAGGTACTATGTGCCACAGTTTGACAACGCTGTATACAGTAAAATTACGTAACTAACACAGTTACACAATTGACACTGGCTCATATTGTCGATTGTCGCTGTGCACACATAGCAATAAACACAAGGCATAATATGTCAGGTAGCCTTTAAATTGATTGAATTGTTTAAGAAAATAAAATAGGTAAACATGACAGGTGTAGAAATCTAAATGTCACGAATTACGGACAACAATCTCATAGAAATAATATTCAGGCTAATACAGTTGACGAATATTATAGGTTGAATATATTTATTCCATATCCATACCTTACACGTACCTATACATTTTACTTTTATTTTAGAAGTAGGTAAAAACAAAAAAAAGCAATAGCAGTTGCTGTTTGTAAATTGTAAAAATTCTAGCAGAAAAAATAGTGTAAATTATATAAATTTTCAGTAGCAAAATTGAAATTAAATAAAAGAAATGAATGGATAGCTGTACAATGAGAATAAAAAACCTTTATTTTTGTAATAATAACAGTAATACTGGAAATAGCAGACATCAAAAAAGTTTAAATGAACAATAAATTATTATTTTATAATGTTGTTCAACATCCCTTAACTCTTAAATGTTTAACAAGGATTAGATTTCTGCCTTTATTGTATGTGGCTGAAATGCAATTTTGTGACTTATTGATAGGAAACCAATTTTAATCATTAATTTATATGGGTTCTTTCGAACTAAAAATAAAGAAAATATAAATTTACCAATTATTTTTGTTAATACGTTTTGATTATACATTATATAATGGTTATGTTTTTATTTTCACATTATTTAACCTATTCTTCAATGACAACTTATTAGGCTTAAGCAACATATCATTCATTTTTTTTAACTAAAGTAATAAAAATATATGATATCTAATTTTTTCACTTGTCTTACAAATCCATATACTTTTATTAAATCCAACATATATATTTTTTAATAGGAATTCCATTAATAATTATATTGTCAGTATACGCAAATATCGTCCGTTAGTTCATAAATTAGTTCGAGCTCTGTCACGCACAGAGCGAATAATAAATGAAAATAGGCTGACTGCGCTTTGCATGATGAGCGTACATCCAAAAATAATCGCAAAAACTAAAAAAAAATCATGTTTTCTGTTATCGATTATTCAAGGTAGAGGAAGAAGAAATTAAAAATTTGCGTTTTTCTAGTATTCGTCGAAGTGTTTGACTGAGTTTTTTATTTGTTTTTTAATATTATGTATGGCTCTGTCTTCTTGTTCATATTTTTTTTATATCATATCTTCTGTTTGTTTTTTAAAAATATGTGTTTTAAGTTGTTTTTTTATTTTAGTTTTTGTCTTTTTGGTTGGGTAATTTTATTTATTAGAAACTTTTGTTAATTTGTATTGCTGTTTTATTTTTCATTTTCTTTGTTTTTCAACAAATAAACATTCTAAATTTTTTCAAAATTTTGTCCCTCCCTATAGAATTATGTAACGACGCCCATGGGTCCTTGTTATAATACTAAGAAGTTACTGCTTCATCTAGATCAACAACAGTTTCCAAAATTTGACCAATCTAAATAAAATAATTCATTTGTCTGAGGCGGTAAATAGAAGTTCGCTAACAGTGAATTTTTTCCGTGTAGCATTGAACACTGATTAAAAAATTATTTTACAAATATGGGAAGCGACAGCTATTCGTAGTTAAACCTAACGTGATATAATGGTCTCATATTTTCAAAAAGTAATCTATCTTTAGTCTGGTTTGAAACATAAAACTAAAAATTTACGAGTAAATCACAAAACAGAAATGAATGGAGCAAAATCTGCAATAAGTTATCATCATGAACTCAAATTCCATATAAGCTTACACCGAAAGCTAGAAATGTTTCAGTATTAAACGAGCCACAGCGCCCTCAGGATTTTCGTAATAGGAACTACAGTTGTAACAAAATTTGAATTTTATTTCATCTCCTCTTCCGCTGATATTTTAAATTCTATATTATACTACTGGGATGTGACTGATAAATATTTGTCTAAAATATATATTTTTTATCCAGTGATTCAATTATTGTATAACAAATAATTTTTCATTTTATTTAAATATATTTATCTAGGTAATACCTATAGAAGACCAACACAAATGGATCATTTAAGCAGAAATTAAAACACACTGTGCATACAAACTCGTCTTTGCGCAGGACATCGCATAATGGTGTCTATAAGAATGCGCAGAATGCATGACTTGTCGCTGTAGCGTTGTCAGGTAATCAAACCTGCCATAAAATAATTTCACCTTATCTATTTTTAAATTATTCATTTAAACAGTTAAAGAATATGCTACAAGCTACCAAAGTTTTACGACCAAAACTTAAGTAAAACATGAGTTCAAAAGGAAATTGTAAAGAGAGAAAAGACAAATTACGTAAATAAATAAAATTAAATAATAAACTCTGTTACATTTACCTCGAAGTACAAGATTTTTAGAAATCATCTCCTTAACATCCTTTACAGCGTTCCTTAACACATCCTGCATATTCTTATTCGGTTGCTTTCCATTTCTCCTTCCGATAGGATCTTTATTATAGGTAAATCCGCCCATGGGAATGCATTTTTCACCGAAAGTATCCTCCAGGTTCATTTCTTCCACCTGATCTTCGGTTAAACCCAAAATTTCCGGCGGGTACAGAGTGCCGTGCTTGGCGAGTTCTTCGATTTCACAACATATCCTGTCGATCTTGAGTCGGCCATTGTACACGGCCACCACTGAACTTACCAAGCTGTCCACTGGGGTTTTTAGGGTTGATTCGAAAAGGAATTGGCTCTCGTCGCGGTGTTTTATGTGGATCACTACCATCTCTTCGTATAGCTCTGGGTTATTTTTTGTTCTATTTGACGACAGGAACTGATTTCTGCAGATGATTGCCGTTTGACGTTGAATGAAGTGTGGCGTCGCTAAGACTTGGTTTTGTCGATTCGTGTTGCTATGGGAATTCTATTTATTTACCTTAGGTTGCTGTGTGACACATACCCGTATTATACTCCCGCTAGAGGAAGGTCTATAGTTTTCAGAAACCATGGATACAGTATCGTAAAACAATTTTGACCCATGGAGGTAGTAGGGAGAGGAATCGCCACGACATAATAAACAATCGGCTGGCTAACTTGTCTTGGCGGCAACGCTACGCGCACATCTACGCGCACACCGCCATTTTGGGGTCCAACCTCTCAATCAAGCCAGTGGCGTCACTGTCGTCGTTTATATCGACAAAAACAAACAAGTTGCAGCAGCTCGGAATCAGTAGCGTGGGTCTTAAATTTATTTTGTTTGTGATGTGTGTATTATGTAGTTATTGTTATTTTTTTAGAATTATAGATATTTTTTGACACTTTTTATATAGTAGTTGTTTTCCAGTGTTAATTTTTTAACTTTTACGTGTTTTACTATGCCTGGGCAAAGTTGTGCAGAAAAAAACTATATCATTAAACTGTATTAAAAGATTTTTTCGGTTTCTTAAAGATCCTATTAGGTAGGTATGTATTGTATACTTTTAAAAAAAGTTATGGGTCAGTTTGTCAGTTATAAACCTATTAGTAAGATGTAGGTAGGTGCCTAGTTAACGTCACGTAAAGTTTAGCTACAGTTTATATTTACTTATGTAGATATATTATTAAGATTTAAAGTAAAATGTTATATTTTAAATATCTCCTGTATGGAGTTGACAAAATGGAAAAATCTTTATTTTTATTTTAAGGAAAAAGTCATTATAAAAAAATTCTGTTTGACGAAAAAATAGGTTTACTATATTAATATGTTAGGTCAGGTGTACAGGGTCTTAATAAATGAAGAAACTTGAAATTGACAAAAATCTGTATTACCTATTGATTTTACGAAGAAAAGTCACAGTTTTCCTGTCGGTTTTCCTTCATAACTTTAAGAGGAAACTTTTTCTTGTAATTTTTTTCAACAAGCAGAATTTTTGTAAGGAATGACTTTTTTTTCTAAAAAAAAAATGAATATTAATCGTAATTGTATTATTCCCAAATATTGAAATGCTTAACAAAAATTTAATTCTGATATTCATTTTGATAATAATTATTCTAGATATGCGAATAACAAAGCTTTATAATCTTGATAAATCTAAAGTATTTTCATTACAAAAAGCAAGAAAATCTTAATTAGACATTAAAGAAATTATAAGTAGTAAAGTAAAAATTAGTAATGAGTCACATACAATCAAAATCATGTGTCTTAAGCAGTTTTTCGCTTTCGATTGTTTTTTTTTTGTTTTTCATTTCAGGATTTATGGCTGGAACTCTTATTTTATTCCGCACGATTATAGAAAAATTTTGTTTGTTTTATGTTATTTAATATAGTTGTTTATTCAGAAAATGTATATTATGTTTATTGTTGTAACCAATAAAGATTCTACAAATAATATTTAGTTACAATTTTGTATTATTTATTTTGCACTTCTAAAATTATTTAACATAAAATTTTACATTTTTATTTGCATTTTGTAATACGCCTGAGATGCGTATTAAAAAAATGCTATTAAAAATGTAAAATTCTTATATTTTGTCGAAGTAAATTCAAAATCCCGCCAATTTTCAAACTAAAATAGCATTACATCTTTCTATATTACCGACTGAGTATTAATTTCACAAAACTATTCCATAATAATATGTCGCTGAAGGTAAACATGCTGCCAAATTTCTGTGAGGAATTTGCAACTCTTAATTATCCTTTCTCCATGATGGTAACTGTGTAAACCCTACATCGGTCCAATTTCAAAGGACGTTCAAAAAATTGCAATGTTTAAATTTATTACATTCTGGAACTGAAAACTGCAAAACAGGTGGGGATGCTTTACTTGTAAGGCTGCATGAAATTCGTAGGACTAGTAAGGATGAGCCATTTTCCAAAATCGCGTGTAATGGTGGCAATGTTGTCGAAAATGTAAATATAAACAAGCATACTAATGAATTGCATGCACAAAATATTAATATTTTTTAAGAAAATTTTATTATATATGCGGATTTTTAATAAAAAAATGTCTTAAAATTCACAGTTACGACGTATGTACACAATATACCTTACCACACGAAGACTTGGATACAAGCTCCATGTATTGTTATTATAAACCATACAAAAAAAGAAAATGAAGATATTTTTGGCAATTTAAAAATGTCAAATAATAGTTTTGTATGTTTATTAACAACAATTGAAATAATTTTTCAACAAAATTTTGAATTATCACTAAATCCGGCGTTTGTAAATATTTTTTAGATTTAATTAATTCCGAGATAACATTTGACGCTCCTTGTCCCCGATTTCCAGAAATATATGTTATTAAGTTATATTTAAGGCTACTCATATATTGCACTTTAAAAATATTAATAGAAATTTTAAGACCATCAATAAAAACAAGCTGATTATTCATTTCTTTTAAATTTAAAGTTATTATTGGTTTTCTGAATTGCATTATGTGTTAATTTTTTTTTTAGCGAGCTCAAATCAATTGTATTATAAAGGTATCAACATAAAATGATAGATTTTTTGGATATTTTAGATAATTCAGAGATTGATACACAAATATTTGATGACATCGGGGATTATGTGCAGAGAGAAGCAGATAATGGCTCACTAGGGATAGTTCATTTTAATATAAGGAGCTTACAGAAACATTATGACCAATTACTAGTATACATAGATATGTCAAAAAACAGATTTGATGTCATCATCTTATCTGAAACAAGAAAAATAAACAATTTAAATGATTTCTCGTTTCCAAACTATTTAATTTATTACAATGAGTCGCTATTTAATAAATGTGACGGAGTTGTAATTTATATAAAAAATAATATAACAGCATCAGCTAATATAGTTCCAATAAACGAAAGTAATTTTCTAAGAGTAACTTTTACAACAAATTATTTACCTAAGAATAATAAAATTGGGCTAACAGCATTTTATAGACTACCAGGAACAGACTCAAAAAAATATTTAGAGGATTTAGAAATATATTTAAGTACAATACAAAAACAAAATTTAGAAGTGTATGTAGGAGACATAAATATTGATTTATTAAAAAAAGATACTCATGAAACTAATAAATATCTTAATATACTAAACTAAAAAATGATTTTATTTCCTATATAAACAAACCTACGCGAGTAACAAATAACACTAAAACTACAATTGACCATATTTTCATAAGAATCCAAAACAATATCAGAAAATTTATTGATATTAAACCTGTTATTTTCCGTACTGATATGACAGATCATTATTCACCCGCTGTATTTATATCTTTTTTAACGCAAACACATACTATTCACGCACCTGTAAATAAAATAAACATAATACATTTTTATAAACTAAAAAATCTTTTAAGTAAAGAAAATTGGGATGAATTGTATAAAAATAATACAGACTCACAATTAGCATATAATATATTCCGAAACAAATTAGATAATCACATTACAACCTCAACTGATACAAAAATAGTAAAAAATAAAATAACAATAATTAAATCGTGGATTACCTTAGAGCTAATATCTTCAATTAAACATAGAGATTGTTTAAAAAAAAACTAATAAAAAACTTTTGTCCTGAATTTGAAAGTGAGTATAAAAAATATAGAAATAAAATAAACGCATTATTAAAAAAAACAAAAAAAGAATACTATCAAAAACAAATGGATGAAGCCGGTAACGACTCAAAAAAAATTTAGAAAGTTATTAATAACATCTCAGGACGTGCAAAAAATACTAATAAAATAGATATAATACCGATCACTAATAAAAATAATGTAATACTAAATGGTAATAAAGAAAAAGCAAACGAGTTTAATAGATTTTTTTCAAACCTCGGAAACGAAATGGCAAATAAAATACCCACAACAAACTTACCTGATAATTTTATCAGTAATGATCAAATCAATTCGAGTATATTTCTACGGCCAATATCAAAAAATGAAGTAACTATTTTTATTTCGAATTTAAAAAATAATTGTGCACCAGGTCCAGATAAATTAGAAGTAAAAACAATAAAAAGCATCCTTGAATATATTGTTTCTCCTCTAACACATATTATTAACCTATGTTTTCAGACTGGAAAAATTCCCCATCAATGGAAGCAATCTATTGTTACCCCTATATTTAAATCAGGGGATTCCAGCAGAGTAAATAATTATAGACCTATTTCATTAATAAACAATATAGCAAAAATATTTGAAAAGGCACTGAAGGCGAGGCTAATTGCTTTCTTTCAAACTCACGGCATTATCTCCAGCTATCAACATGGTTTTATAGAAAATTCAAGTACTGAAACTGCAATTATAGATCTTATGAGAAAAGTAGTCGGTGCCCTGGATGAATCATTGGCATGCACTGCTGTATTCCTTGATTTAGCCAAGGCATTTGATACAGTCTCTCATGAAATACTTCTAAACAAACTAGAAGACTATGGAATTCGGGGCGTGGCGCTTAAACTTATATCTGATTACTTATATAATCGTGTTCAAAGAGTAAGGATTGGTTCTGAATTTAGCTGCGAATCAATTATTAAAGTGGGTGTTCCACAGGGAACAGTCTTGGGTCCCTTGTTGTTTCTTGTTTACATGAATAGTATAACAAAAATTAATAATTTTCAAGGTCATCTTGTGTGTTATGCCGATGATGCAGCCATAATTTTCACCGGAAAAACGTGGGAAGACGTACATCGCAAAACAGAAGCTACATTAACTAAGGTGACACTATGGTTAAACTATAACAAACTAACATTAAATATTAAAAAAACAAAATTTATTGCTTTCAGCCCGACTGCTACAAATCAGCCAATTAACTTACCGATTAAACTACACAGCCCAAACTGCGAGCTAAACAATTGCATATGTCCCACTATTGAAAAAGTCGCTTCCATAAAATATTTAGGTGTTATACTAGACCAATATATACGTTGGACAGAGCATATCACTCATGTTAGT